ATGTCATTCTGCATCTTGACTTTACTAGGAGTAAAATGATGTCTCTACATTCAGATCTATCAACTGTAATGTATCTATATAATCATAATATATTAACCACTTCCCGACCGGCCGTTGTATATAAACGGCCGGACGGTGGCACTGCAGGGTCGGGTGGCCGTCTATAAACGGCCTCCCCGCACCCTGCTTGTGCGCGCTCCCTGGGAGCGCGCAGCACCGCGATCCGGTGCCCGCTGTGTCCTCCAGACACAGTGAAACACCGATCGTCGGACGGGACCTCTGTACGAGGTCCCGATCATGTGATCACTGATTGGCCAATCAGTGATCACATGCAAAGTAGTAAGCAAGATGTCACTTCTGACATCATTGCTTACTATGTGTGAAATCTGTGAATGATCACAGAGGTCACATGGTACAAGGCTGTTCACAAAAGCCTTGTACCATGTGACAAGCTGTGACCAATCACAGCTCACTCAGTTCTTCTCAATGAGTGCAAGAATGCACACAGAGAGAAAGAGAAATGATTGCTTTTACATCCTATATGGGTGTAAAAGCAATCAGTGTAAAAAAAAAAAAAAAAAAATCTTCATCACCCCTCACAAGTAGTACAGTGTCACCATGGTGACAGTGTACTGCTAGGGTGACAGTATGTAAAAAAATAAAAATAAAAATAAAAAATAATAATATAAAAAAATAAAATAAAAATGTAAAAAAAAATGTTTAAAAATTTTAATTTTTGCTTATAAACTAATTTGGATTTTTTTTTTTTTTTTACAAAAAGATAACGGAATAAATTTTGGCTAAGATTTATGATGAAATATTATTTATTTGCAAAATTTTATAAAAAAAACACTTTTTTTCAAAATTTTTGGACATTTCATTTACATAGCAAAAAAAATACAAATCCCAGCGGTGAATAAATACCACCAAAATAAAGCTTTATCTATCTCAAAAAAATGGTAAAAAATTCATTTGGGTACAGTGTTGCATGACCGCGCAATTGTCATTCAAAGTGTGATAGCGCTAAAAGCTGAAAATTGCCCTGGTCAGGAAGGGGGTAAAAGTGTCCGGACTGGAAGTGGTTAATAATCTATCAAATGTCATTCTGCAACTTGACTTTAACAGGAGTAAAGTGGTGTCTCTACATTCAGATCTATCAAATAATAATAATAATAAATATATCAAATAATAAATATATCAAATAACAATAATATTTTATCTATTGAATGTATTTCTGCAACTTGGCTTTAAGAGGAGTAAATGATGTGTCTGCTTTCAGCTCTATGGTGTGAAGGATATGCTCTGTGCAGAATCTTGACGGCAGAGAGTATACACTGTGTGGGTGTAAAGGAGTCATAATAGAGCAGAGCAGTACTGACAATAATAATGGAGTCATCAAATGGGTACAGTTTTTTATTTCAAATGCAGAAATCAAAATGACAAATGCATACAGTGTAGCCGGCCCAATACAAGCAGGTGGTTAAAGCCGTATTAAACATGGATGCAGCGATATATCGGGGGCCGAAAACAGTGTTGTCCGCATTTTGCCGATAGGAGAAAAAGTGCCGATAAATGTAAAGTCGCATCTTATAGACTTTCATGCAAAAACGCCCTCTAGTGACTTCAATACAAAATTGCATCTCATAGTCTTTCATGCAAAGTCGAGTCCTCATTGACTTCAATGCAAAATTGCCAGTCACATGAATTAAATTTAACCACTTGCAGTCCGGACACTTTTACCCCCTTCCTGTCCAGGCCAATTTTCAGCTTTCAGCGCTATCACACTTTGAATGAAAATTGTGCGGTCATGCAACACTGTACCCATATGAATTTTTTAGCTTTTTTTAAACAGATAAAGCTTATTTTGGTGGTATTTATTCACCACTGGGGTTTTTATTTTTCTTGCTATGTAAATGAAAAAGTCCAAAAATTTGGAAAAAAAGTGTTTTTCTTATAAAATTTTCCAAATAAATAATATTTCTTCATAAATCTTGGCCAAAATGTACTCAGCTATCCTTTTAGTAAAAAAAAAAAATTACCCAAATTAGTTTATAACCAAAAATTATAATTTTTTAACTTTTTTTTTTACATTTTTATATATTATTATTATTTTTTTTTTTTACACTGTCACCCTAGCAGTACAGTGTCACCATGGTGACACTGTACTACTTGTTGGGGGCGACGAAGATTTTTTTTTACACTGATTGCTTTTACACACATAAAGGCTGTAAAAGCAATCATTTATCCTCCTCTCTGGCTGCATTCTTGCAGCCATTGAGAACTACTGTGTGAGCTGTGATTGGTCACAGCTTGTCACCTGGTACAAGGCTATTGTGAATAGCTTTGTACCATGTGATCTCGGTGATCATTCACAGATTTCACCAGCAGTAAGCAATGATGTCACAAGTGACATCTTGCTTATTACTCTGCATGTGATCACTGATTGGCCAATCAGTGATCACATGATCAGGACCTCGCAAAGAGGTCCCGTCTGACAATCGGTGTTCCACTATGTCCGGAGGACGCAGCAGGCACCGGATCGCGGTGCTGCGAGCTCCCAGGGAGCGAGCACAAGCAGGGGGCAGCGAGGCCATTTATAAACAGCCATCCGACCCTGCAGTGCCACCGTCCGCCCATTTATATACAATGGCCGGACAGGAGATGGTTAAAAAAATTAAAAATGTCTGTTTCGGATTTTTCCGCCAAGTGCATCCTGAATTTCGGTTTCGGCACCAGAATTTTCATTTCGGTGCACCACTGGTATTAAACCCAAAGCCATACATGTAGCATACAGTATTGCAGCTTACCAATCATTACATATGGAGGCTGCATTGGTTTTCTTTTTTTAGTCTGCCCAGTAACACACCTACCTGTATTAGAGTGCCCCCACTCTGGATGAAGGAGCACAGGTGGCATATTTGAACAGGTACATTGTCAGTCTAGAAAAGCGGATCTTTACTAATAACTTGATAAAATATAACGTTCTTTAACAAGGAATATACCGTCCATATTATTAATTATGCTGCTAAAATGAGTGTGTGCTGTAAATGGCCTCCAGCATTGTTCCTGTGTATTCTTGCTGCAGGCGGCCATTTTGTTGAAGCCCAGAGCCCCTGAGCAGCAGTAATTAGGCTGTCAGAAGATTGGCCTCTAGTGGCTCTGATTTTTAGCACATTGACGAAAAATCGAGAGCAACTGAGCATGTGCAGAGCAGGGTATTGCTGAATTGTATGGGAAAAGTTCACCTTCTGGAACATGTTCCACCGATATTTAGGGTGGAACATGTAACATCTGCTGCCTCCTCTCCCTCCCTGTGACAGCAGGCCGGGGATCTCCTCCCAGCACCCGCTGTCACAGTTCAACTCCGCCCACACAGCCTCGTCATTCATTCAGCTTCCTGTGAATGAACGCCTACAAGTAAGATCAGCCATTGCAGCAGACGGCTTGTAGTTCTCAATGGACTGTGAGGGCGCTGGTGAGCATTCTCATAGTCCAATGATGCTTCCTGCTGGTAGGAGGTGCAGACAGCTTACCGACAGTCTGCAGGATCCAGGCATTGCACCCGCAATCTACTGATCACAGGTACAATGCATTGCAGACTGGAATATAAAAATATAATAAATGCTCTTTTTTTACCTACAAATAGAAATGCATTTATTTTTTTTTTTTTTTAAAAAGTGAACTCATCCATTAATCAGTATAAACATTTATTTGTAATGTTTTGTGCGATTGGATGACAGGACAAAGCTCTGTGATTGCAAACAACACAGAGCTCTGCCCTGACAGTGGCAATGTGCCGGGTTTTGGTCTTCCTACAAAGAAGGTAAAATAAAACCGCAAATCCATTAATAAAAACAGCACACAGTAAACACGTAACACAGCACACAAGTAACCCCATGAATGCCCATAGATGTTAACCCTTTCCAGGCCAGTACACTGTATATTATTAGCACTGATGACTGTTAGTGTCAATGGAGATGTCAGTGGCAGTTAGCCGGTTCCCACAAAGTGTCAGATTGCCCACCGTACTATCACAGCCACACTATATTTTTATTGGATGTTTTATAGCAGATAGAAAAAATTTTTTTCCCAAAATGAGCAGTCTTTTTTTATTTATATCTCAAATAAATAAAAAAACTCAGCGGTGATCAAATACCACCAAAAGAAAGCTCCATTTGTGTGAGAAAATGACAAACTTTGTTTGGGCACAGCGTTGCAGAACTGCGCAATCACAAGTTAAAGTAGCGCAGTGCCAAACTGCAAAGAACGGCCTGGTCATGAAGGGGGTAATATCTTCTGGAGCTGAGGTGGTTAAGCCTGGAAAGTTTCTGCTAACAATTCCTAGAGGTCCCCCAACGTTTACAATCTGTGTGTGTGTGGAGACGCAGTGTAGGAACAGACGGCAATATTTCGGCAGTGCTGTACGGCATACTATTAGGTCCCTTTCACACAGCGCAGTGTAGCCGCGGCATTCATGTGCGTTTCCTGCGCTCCCCCATAGACGTCCACTAGATCTGGTGATTTTGGTGTTTTCTGAAAGCGCAACAAAGCTCCGGCATGCTGCATCCCTGATGCGCTCTCAGAAAACACCAAAATCACCAGATCTAGTGCAAGTCTATGGGAGAGCGCAGGAAACCCACATGACACTCCCAGATACACTGCAACCTAACCCCCCACCCAAAGTGACAGGCTCCAACCTACCCCCCTATTCAGGTGAGGCTACAACCTCCTCTCCCTTCCCCGCCAGGTGACAGACTCCAACCCCCTCCCCCAGGTGACAGGCTGCACCCCCCCCCTACACACCCCCTCCCCCAGGTGACAGGCTCTAACCTCCTACTTCGACTGGGACCAGCTGAAGGCAGGACTACTTTTTTTTTTTAATAAATATATTTAGATTTTCTCTTTATATTTTTATTTATTGTTTGTAGTCATTATCTGATTTCAGTTATCTGCACAATACATTGATATATACACTATATTTCCAAAAGTATTGCCCCCCCCCATCCAAATCATTGGATTCAGGTGTTCCAATCCCCTCCCAATCATGTGATTCAGGTGTTCCAATCCCCTCCCAATCATGTGATTCAGGTGTTCCAATCCCCTCCCAATCATGTGATTCAGGTGTTCCAACCCCCCCCCGCCCCCCACCCTCCCAATCATGTGATTCAGGTGTTCCAATCCCTCCCAATCATGTGATTCAGGTGTTCCAATTCCCCTCCCAATCATGTGATTCAGGTGTTTCCAATCCCCTCCAAATCATGTGATTCAGGTGTTCCAATCCCCTCCCAATCATGTGATTCAGGTGTTTTCCAATCCCCTCCATGGACACAGGTGTATACAAATCAAGCCCCTAGGCATGCAGACTGCTTCTACAAACATTGGTGAAAGAATGGGTTCGCTCTCAGGAGCTCAGTGACTCCAAGCGTGGTTCCCGTGATAGGTGGCCACCTGGGCAATAAGTCCATCCGTGACATTTCCTGGCTACTAAATATTCCATATGCTCAACTGTTAGTGGGATTATAACAAAGTGGAAGCAACTGGGAACAACAGCCACTCAGCCACCAAGTGGTAGGCCACGTCACATCACAGAGCGGGATCAGCGCATGCTGAAGCGCACAGTGCGCAGAAGTCGCCAACTGTCTGCAGAGTCAATAGCTAAAGACCTCCAAACTTGGTGTGGCCTTCAGATGAGCCCAACAACAGTGCGTAGAGAGCTTCATGGAATGGGTTTCCATGGCCGAGCAGCTGCATCCAAGCCTTCCATCACCAAGTGCAATGTAAAGCATCAGATGCCGTGGTGTAAAGCAAGCCGCCACTAAGGTCTCTAGAGCAGTGGAGGCGTGTTCCCTGGAGTGACAAATCACACTTCTCTGTCTGGCAATCCGATGGATGTGTCTGGGTTTGGTGGTGGCCAGGAGAACAGTACTTTGCCTGACTGCATTGTGCCAAGTGTAAAGTTTGGTGGAGGGGGTATTATGGTGTGGGGTTGGTTTTCAGGGGTTGGGCTTGGCCCCCTATAGTTCCAGTGAAGGGAACTCTTAAGGCGACATTTTGGACAATTTCATGCTTCCCAACTTTGTGGGAAGAGTTTTGGGATGGCCCCCTTCCTGTTCCAACATGACTGCCCACCAGTTTGCACAAAGCAAGGTCCATAAAGTCATGGAGAGGAGCCTTTTTGGGGTGGAGAGTGAACTTGTCACTGTTCCTGCAGAGAGTCCTGACCTCAACCCCATAGAACACCTTTGGGATGAATTTTTAGAGTGGAGACTGCGAGCCAGGCCTCCTCCCCCGACATCATTGCCTGACCTGACAAATGTGCTTCTGAAGAATGGTCCAACCTTACCCATAGACACCCTCCTAAAACCTTGTGGACGGCCTTCTCATAAGAAGCGGTGAAGCTGTTTATAGCTGCAAAGGGCGGGGCCAACTCAATATTGAACCCTACGGACTAAGACTGGGGGGGCCCATTAAAGTTTCATTGCGTGGAAAGAGCCGGTGGCCCAATACATTTATGGCAATATAGTGTACATATATACCCTGAAAAAAAACCCCAAAAAACCCAGACTTGGTAACATACATAAACTGTCTGCAAAATAAATATTCTTGGAACATTAGTCAATATGAAGACAGAAAAACTATATTTATATATATTTTTTAATATTATAATTAAACAATACTGATACGAAAAACAGATTTTGGAACCATGCAGTAACTGTCTAAATTTATATATTATTTTTTTATAATCTTGTTGTTTATTAATTGTTATCTGTAGATTATTTTATGTATTAAACAATTATTTTATTATTAATATGTAATATTTTGTATAAAATATGTCTATTTTTATTTATATTTCATACATTTTTGATATTTTTATGTGTTTTCTATTTATTTTTGTTGTAATTCTGATTGTTATCTGTATAAATATATATAATTTTGTTGTAACATTGTATGTGTGGCATATTATTAACCGTATATATGATTTTTCATTTTATCTAGATTTAATTTTTTTAATTAGTATTTATTGTTATTGATTATCTGCAGCCCTTGGCACTGTCCGAGTTCCAATCCAGTGGGAGGGGGGAGAGAGCCTGTCCAATTCCGTGACATCTGAACAACTAGCATCAGCTTCTGCCTGCTGATCATAGAGACGGACAGAGGGCCAGCACTGCCAGTCAGGAAACAGGAAGCGATGA